AATTTTTTATATTTTATATAAAGGAAGAGATATTTAAAATATTTTGCAACATCTATATTTTTCGAATCTTAATTATAAAAACTTCAGAAGAATCAGTGATTACTTTAACAAATTCTATACATGTATTAATAATTAAATTTTTAAATAATTAAAAAAAAGATTGATAAATATCAAAGATCATTTTACTGATAATTAAAAAGATTTATAGAAATACGGTTAAAAAGGTTTTTATTCCACAACAGACATTTTGTTTTTTTGTAAATAAAAATATATGACATTTAATGTATAGAAAAATATTTATTTTATCTTTGAACGTTACATTGGAAGATCACAGTATTTTTCGGGATTGAAGTCAAATTTTAACGTCTTACTTTGTGATACGACATAAATAGATATGAATCAATTAATTAAATATATATTATATTTAAATTTTTCAATGTTAACATATCTTTCGAAAAGAGATAATATATCTATATTTATATACACATAAAATATATATATGTAATTCCAGCGTGTGTATTTCATGTAATGTTTTAAATTGAATATATATATATATATATATATATATATATATATATATATTATATGTTTATTTGTGCATGTGTAGAGAGAAAGAGAGAAAGAGAGAGAGAGAGAGAGGACCACAAAATTTATTTAAAAAATAAAAATTAAAAAATTTATTTATATTTATATACATATGCGTTTTGCTATACAACACTGATGGCATTTCATGTACTATAGACATTTTGTGCGCATAGCACGGAACAGAACCAAAAATTGTGCACATTATATGTTACCCTCTGAGAACTTTCGTGGACTTTGGCTTTGTAGTTCATCCACGTTTTTTAGATTAACAGAGGGCGTATCGCTTTCAGGGATCACCTAAAAGCGGGCCATGACATCTCTCGGTCTTCTCTCTGTTGATACCAGTGTTACTGTTGCCAATCATTGCCAATCCTCTTGTAATTGTCAATAATGGCGACCATTTGTGAGAATGGTGTAGAACACGCGCTAGTTTTCGCAAATACATCTGTAACAAACAAAATGCCTGCGCAAGAAGTTGCGGTGCTACAACCACCGGCCACCGAGAGTGAGGAGAACAATGTTCCTTCTTCGCAACCGATCGTAGGCATCATTTATCCGCCTCCTGAGGTTAGGAGTATCCTTTGTCAGAAATATCATCGAATCGTCCAAAAAAAGTTTAACAAATGTTCGTTACAGAATTGGAGAAAAATCGACACGAGAAATGTATTTCATATACAATTTGACATTTAAAGTATCGTCTCGGTTTTAATTTATCATTGCTGCTTGACATATGATAGTTATATATTTGTTCTTCCTATACAGAAATTCAGATATTGTTGACAAAACCGCCAGTTTCGTAGCCAGGAATGGGCCGGAATTCGAATCCAGAATTAGACAGAATGAATTGGGCAATCCCAAATTCAATTTCTTAAACTTTGGCGATCCCTATCACGCTTATTATCAGCATAAAGTAAAGGAGTTTAAGGAAGGAAAAGGACAGGAGCCTACAGTAGGATCAGCACCCGGGAAAACTGTTAATCTTACTGCACATCAGAAACAGCAGGAAATTTTGAAGCAAGTTGAACAACCGTTTGTGCCCAAGGATCCGCCAGTTGAATTCGAATTCATCGCAGATCCTCCTTCCATATCGGCTTTGGATCTGTATGTAATAGTCGTTATATATAATTAATATTTTTTTTTTTCAGAAAATAAAATTGTGTTTCTTTTTCAGAGATATTGTGAAACTAACTGCTCAGTTTGTTGCACGTAACGGAAGGCAGTTCTTGACCAATCTAATGAATCGTGAACAAAGGAATTTCCAATTTGATTTCTTGCGCCCTCAGCATTCTTTATTTCAATACTTTACTAAACTTTTGGAGCAATATACCAAAGTACAGACAGATAATTATTTTTTGTTTTAAAATATAAATATAAATTTGCTTGTAAACAGTGAATAACAAATCGTTATATTTTTACAGGTATTGATTCCACCCAAGGATTTGTTGCCACGTCTCAAAGATGAGGCATTCAATATGGATAAGATCTTGGAACAGGTGAAATACCGCGCCGAGTATTTAAAATATCAGGAGGCGCAGAGACGTAAAGAGGAAGAAGAATTAGAAAGAGAGAGAGTCGCGTATGCGCAAATTGATTGGCATGATTTTGTCGTGGTTGAAACTGTAGACTATCAGCAATTTGAAGTCGGCAATTTCCCAGCGCCAACGACTCCAGACGAAGTTGGAGCGCGTGTTCTAATGCAGGTACGATCATAATTTTATGATTAGAATCTTTATTTATTTTTATTAATTTACAAAATATGTTAAATATAAATCGAATATCGAAAATTTATAGGAACGTATAGAAGATGGGGAGGATGTGGAAATGCAAATCGATAGTGATGCAGAAGAAGAAACACAAGCGCGCACAGATGGTGAAAAAGGCGATCGCGCGAAAGATAATAATCAGGTAAATATATTTTTTTATTCATTATGTGCATAAATTCACGTGTTATAACGTTCTTTATTAATATTTCAAGGTGCAAGATATGGAGGAAGATTCCAGCGATGAAGATGACGTATCTCCACCAGGTGATACTCACAAATCTAAAGAATCCAAACCACGCGAAACGAGCATGCAGCCTCCTCCATTACCACCTACACCAGGAAATGTGATGGTTAAGAAAGGATATGATCCAAAACAACATGGTAAATATATTTTATCATTAATTAGTTCTAACACATCAGCATTTCATACTGTCAATATATTATTAATTTTATAGCTGTTAAAGCTGCTCGTCCTGTTGCTTCTGATGACTATTTGATGATTTCGCCGCTTACACGCGAACACATTCCTGCTAATAAGGTGCAAGAACATATGCGTATTGGATTGTTGGATCCTCGCTGGGTTGAACAACGAGACAAGCATTTAGACAAACTTGCACAAGAAACTGTATTTGCGCCAGGCACAGCTATCGAGGCAAGTCTCAAGCAACTCGCCGAGAGACGTACTGATATTTTCGGTGTTGGTGATGAAGAAACGGCGATCGGTAAGAAAATCGGTGAAGAGGATAAGAAGAAGGATGATAAAGTCACATGGGATGGTCACACGTCGAGTGTAGAGGCAGCAACAAGAGCCGCGCGTGCCAATATCACGCTGGAAGAACAGATTCATCAAATACATAAAGTCAAAGGTCTTCTACCTGATGAGGAGAAGGAAAAGATTGGTCCAAAACCTGTGAATCGCGCGACCGAGCTTTCTCATATGGCTGCTGCTGCTTCAAAACCACAAGCTACGTTGAAAGCACCTCCGAAACCTCTTGCACCAAAGCCCATACCGGTGCCCGCCCAACCTCCTCCACCACCAACTATGAGTATGCCAACTATGGGCATACCTCAGCCGATGATGCCACAGCCGCCAATGATGATGATGGCACCTATGCCACCTATGGCACCCCGACCACCACCTCTAATGCGTACGAAACTTTTTTTATTTATTTCTATATATTTCGAAAAATATTTTATTATCGTATTGTTTCATATAAATAAAACTAATCGAAATAAAATAATCTATCGCAGCTCCAGCAATGTCACCGTTTATGCCGGCGCCACCACCGATGCAGCCACCAATGACATCTACTGTAAATAACTTCTTATAAAATATTCATACAATTCATTACTTTTCTTGTATTTTAAAATTTAATTTATATTTATATCTTTTTTCTTCCAAGATTGGATTAAAATCTGCTAGTAAACCACCGGATGAAGAACCACAAACTAAGAAACTGAGAACTGAAGACTCATTAATTCCAGAGCAACAATTCCTTGCTAGAAACAAGGTAAAAAATATATATATACATACATTTAACAAAAAGTTTGACTAAATTCCAAAAAAAAATTCTTTTCTCAGGGACCTATACAAGTTAACATCGCTGTGCCTATGATGACAGAAAAAGCTGAATGGAAATTGAATGGTCAAACATTGAATATTACTTTACAACTAAGTGATACTGTAGCAACCATGAAAGCGCTTATCCATGAACAAACTGGCATGCCACCTGGAAAACAAAAACTGCAGAATGAGGTATCATAGTTGATAAACTTTTCACTTATATACATCTCTTTTATTGTTAATGAGTATTAGGTTATATAAATGTGACTCTCTGTTTCCAGGGAATGTTTTTCAAAGATAATAACACTCTCGCTTATTATAATTTAACTTCGGGTAGCGTTATTAATCTGCTACCAAAGGAGAGAGGTGGTAGAAAGAAGTAAATAAATAAAAACGTAAGTATAAATAAATAAAATCTATTAATTAAAAATATAATAATATATAATTAAATTTTAATTTAATTAAAAATTAAAATTTAATTTGCTTTTAATTACTACTATATAATCACTATATATCATTTTAAAATACAAAAATTATTACTTGATTAAAATATATATTTCATTTATTTAAGATCCATTTATAACCACATGTGCAACAGAATTATATAACTTATAAATGCAATAAATAGTATTATTTAAATATGATTTTATCATAATTTTTAAGCTCCATTTTTTATGGAATAATGAAACTTAAATTGTAATATAATTTTAATCTTGTGTTGTGTTTGTACAATAATTAAAATAAAACTTACTTAGCTAATACAGGTAATATTAACTTTTAAAATTGCTAAGTTTAAACCAAATAGTAAATAGCTAACATAATTTAGAAAAATAAATGCATTTATAGTTACTTTATACATATTTTTTTAGAATATATTCATTTTGTTATTAAAATTAAAAATTTGCAGTATATATTACAAGATAAAAATTTAATGAATATGTTGACGAGAAGAATTGAATAGGTTATAAGAATATTTTATACATTTGTAAAAAATATTATATGAGATATTCTCATATATAAAATAATTTCCTCTTAGATAATTTTTAATATACATTATATAAATTTGAACATCCTAAATAATAGTAATTTAAAAATAATATGTAGAAAACCCAATGCAACCTCTTTGCGATATAAAGGTATAAAAGATATATTTTTCTTTAGAAAATATTTTGGTATATACAATTTTGTTATTTACATTTGCTTTTTTGTTCGTTTTTCTTCTTTAATATTTGATCTACAATCTTACGATAACGTATCGTCATAGGTTTATAAATCTAAAAGCATAAAATATAATACATTATCAATTCTAATAATAAAAAAAGTCCTTAAAAATTGATTCTACTTACGGATTCGGCATCATCATATGGTTGACATACAGGTGTCGGTTCTGGCAAACAACGTGTAATTTCATCAAAACTACAATTATTGTGAAATAAACCATACTTGGCTTGATACGCCGCACCCATCATAGCCGAATTAGCTGCTTCCTATTGAATAAAAAAAGTTATAAAAATTAAATATTTTCATGTATTAAATTTTAATATTAATGGTAATAATTATCACATACTATATTTACCGAGATATATACTGGCGAATTAAACACATCGGAAAGTACTTGCAATATAGCTTTATTCACAGATGCACCTCCCGTTGCGATAATTCGTGTATTAGGTCCTATACAAAAGAAAGAATATCGGAAATATTTGCAAAATAAGAATGTGAAAAAAATCATTTGTCAAAAAATACTTGCCGATGACAAGTCCAAAATCTTCAGCGTATGCTCTTTTTGCGACAAATTGACCTTCAATCAATGCTCTCACTTCTACTTCTTTCGAACTATATCGAGAGATTTCATCATTGGCTTTATTATATCTATAATCACCGATGACAAAAGGCAGGATCTCTTGTTTATCGAAATATAATGCAAAGTTGCCGAAATTTCCTCGAGGCGTGCTTTCTAATAATTCATTAAATATTTGCCAGCTATCTTGAGCAGCCTCGTTTCGTATTCGTTCGCGCGTCAAAGAAGCGTTCTTAAAACTGTACAAAACAATTATCATTATTTATATAAAATAAATATCGCTTGTACATTATTAGTATAAAGACAAAAAATACCCAAGCATTCCCATATAAGCCTGATTATCTATCGGATTGCACAATATATGTCCATCCATTATAGTCTTTGGTTCGTTTAGCCACAAGAATAAAACATCGCTCGTACCCAAACTGCAAGCGATATCACCCTCTTTTAACCTCATACCTATGTATTATTATTGTCATGAGTATAATAGCGTCCTACAGCTCACGTTGTATTATAATGAAACATATTTCTAAACATATATATGGATAATATTACATACCTACCAAGGATCCCGGATTATCTCCGGTAAACGCAATTATTCTACATTTTTCTTTAAAATCAAATCTTTCCACGAAATAAGGCGATATAGGACCGATATCACTGCATGATGAAACAGGTTTACCCAATTTTCCTCTTAGTCCCGATGCGCAAGTCTATCAAATATATGATATATAGTGACGGCAAAAATGAAACATATGTACAAGCACAATATGTACAATTATATATAACGTCATTTTACCTCCAATAATAGATCATCCCAATCTTTCGTATGAATATTTAGCAGATTCATTCCCGAGCCATCAGACCAATCGATAGGTGCGTAATCGCCCAGGAACAAAGAGGCAAGAAAACTGCTCACCAACGAGATTCTCTAAAAGAAAACAGCACGCACATAAAATAACATTCAGTTTGATACGTTTTAAAAGCAGCACAAAACGCATGATGCATAGTTTGATCATCGAGTTATAATTGGAAACGTTAAATCACACGATAACACGATTATGTCACAAAAATTTTTAGATTGTAAATTTTTACTAAAACCGTGAAATAAAGATAAGTATTAAAAAAATAAGTAAATAAAAATGTACAACACTGACCAAGAAATCAATTAATAGTAAATTCCCGATCACTAATTGTTACAAATACTTTTTATAGTTGACACACTTGGTAAAATTATCATTGATACATTCAAAAGCGAAACACACTATTGTAATTCAATCAATATAACCATACGTAACGAATACCTCGGTCAATTGCCGTTCTCATTTTTTCGAAGGAAGCCACGAGTTTTTAGTAGGTAATACCTCAGTGTTACAGTAGGCTTCCGGCTTCGTGCGTGCTATTTTCGCTATCTGCGGTCCCGAGAATCTCTCGTACGCTCGCGAACCCGTTATTTCCGCTAATTTCTGAAATCACACGCTGCGTGAATAAATATTGTTGATCTAAAGAACTCGTGTGTATACTATGTATAAGATAACTTCAAATATTTAGCCAATCCATTCTTGCATGGTTATAGCATCAGTTAGTCGTTTACAATATTTTACATCGCAGAAATAAATTCTCGTGAAAGCTAACGTTAAACCATAAACATACGCGTTCATTATAAACTTTAACATATATTGGATTAAAGATTCGTGTATATTTGTCTTAATTTATCATTATATATTCTACAGATAAATAAACAAGGATGCTTACGTGAGGACCACCTACGATCTCCTCCAAAACGCTACATTCTTTCGACGTACTGGAATCCATCCATACAGGCGAATGAGTTACGGAGAAGGATGTAGCAAATTGTTCGTATAAGAATTTTATGGGATTTAAACGCTGCAATCGACTTTGGCTACCTTTGCCCCAATAAATCGTGCCGTGTTGCTAAGAACCATAGAAATGTGGAAAGAAGTATCTTATATAAAGATGCATTTATGGTATATTTTTAAAATAATCGATATAATTGGGAAGTAATATATATAGCCGCATTACCTGCGCACATCCAGAGATGGCTACCACTTTACTAAAATCGACACCGCAAACACGTAATTTGTCAAGTATCATATCTAAGGCTTTAACCCACATTAAAGAAGGCGCTACCACGACATGCGGTTCCTCTTTCTTCTGTATAACTCCTCCGTAAGTCCTACAATATAATATTCAAGTACTCATGTATTACAAGATAAAATGTAGAGAATTACAATTTTATTCAATTTTCTTTAAGAATACCTAAATTCCGGTAGATCATTATCAAACTGTACACTAGTCTCGTGAAGGACGGCTAGATTATCATCGACTACTACCGCTTTCAGCTGAAATTGAATCAAACGCAAATTTAACATTTAAAATATCCATCCTTTTTCCAAAATTTACATAATTATGTTTCACACGTGCAATTATTTTTCTTTATTTTTTGATCTATAAATTTTTATCTAATAATTAGTTTAATTTAATTAATTTATTTAATAATGATCCATTTAATATGAACACAAAATAATTAATAAAATCTGAAAATTCTTTGCACGTTTAGGACGATAATAATAACGATTATAATATAATAATATCTTTATATATATTATCGCCCCTAGTGCAACGTGAAATTTTTACTCCAATGTACACGCATCAAAACTGCTCCGATGATATCGGCTCAATATTTCTATATCTCGCTGCATTTTGCAAATATGTTTCCTTCGCGCATATCAGCTAATAATTCGTATGTTATCTCATTAGATAATAGTGACCCGGCAATGTCAGAGCGGTGTCTCTTGTGACGTTTCGACACTCGCTCGTGTTTATGAAACTATCATTGTATTGACACACTTTATGAAATGCGTAATAAATGCGCGTAGAAAGACGGGTCATCACTATTTGAAGATAATGAAATTCATAAACATACTTTGTAAGGTTATCACTCTCAAAGTGAATAGAAAGATGTAAGACGAAATAATAAGTAATCGATAATTGAATTGTATAGTAATCAAAGGAAAAAAAATCACAAATAAAATATATGTGGATGCTGTAGTAAAAGATATAAATATTCTCTAAAAAACGGTTCACAATTTCTCATATAAGTAATCAATATCGAAATTTCATCGCATCTTATTTTTTCTAGTAACATTCGATATGATATCTTTCAGGAAAATGCGAGATCTACATATAAATAATATTCCGTGAAATCGGATATCACGAACTTAATGAAAAATTCATTCACGATTACTTTCCATAAAAGATTTTCTTTCCTCAGGAAACTGATATAATTTTAAATGCTGTAGATGTAGAAAAAGATCTTACATTACGTATTATCTTACGTCGTCTCATTATTTCGTCTACATCCATTGTTGTGAGTAAAAATTATCTCGCAACAAAATATTCCACACATCGTTTTATCTCGTAATAAACTCCTAGTGATAAAAACTTTCAAAGTAAGCATGTGCAAATTTGAGCAACACAGATGTTATCTCGTAAGGTTTTCGATTGTTAGAATAAGATATAAAATATTGTACTGTTTTATATACATATATGTATATCCACGTGGTCACCTTTCAATGCACGAGTGCACTGTCGCACATTGTTACAATTCGCATATAATCTCTCGTAAACAAAGTAAACAATTACGTGCATTTTAATATAATAATTAAAACTCAAATTTTTCAAGGTATCTGAAAAGAGACTTAACAGATTACATATTTTCTGCTCGTGAATTTATGTTGTTTGAATTGTGCATTAACATCGTTCACAGTCCCAACTTTCACGCCTTTCAATTCTACATATATTTATATCTTTACGTATTGTACATTTTCGAGATACACAGATACATCGCAAAATATACCTGCTGGCTGCTCAGGTCTAGACCCAAGTATGTTGCCGTCGACGAATCTTCCATGCTTCCGACGTAAATCGACGTAGAATTAACGTGAGAGCTCGTAGAACCGATGACAGAAAGACGCGACTGACAGCTGACAGCTCGCTCGATTCGATGCTCTTGATGTGTCCACGCGTCACTTTATTGCTCGAGGGATTAAGCGCGAGCGAACACGTGGCCTGCGTGCATCCTCGGATGAACTTTGATGTTACATTCCGCGAGATTCAACGCGTGACCCTTGCTAGGAATGATATTATCGTTCTTGCATTACGCAACGCGATCCGTCGTCTGGAGATAGATCGTTAACGTGGCACGAAGGCGAACGACACTGGAACAATAAACGACATACATGTGTTGGTTTGACGTATCTGACTTTGGGCATAACTGGTGGATGATAACCGGGTAAGAGAGAGGAAGAGCGCGAGCTATTTTATCGGTAGTATAACTTTGAAGCATATCATGTCTGCTCCATCTGTAGCTGTAATCGTGCGTTATGTATCCGAGGAAATTTAGTCGATAACCTAGCGTGCAGTTTAGAAATAAATATGGCGTCTAAGCAGCATATCGTTCAAAAGTTCGAGTTTGTCTGGTCCGGCAAAATTTCATCAAGGAGGTAATAATTTTGTAATTTTAGAAGATCAAGAAATAAGCTTCAAAGTCAAGAGTACAATGTCAAGAATACTTTGATTTAACAAGCATCATCCAAAACTGAAATTTAATTACCAAGATATTTACAAAAGAAAATTATGAAGCAAGAAGAGAGAGAGAAAGAGAGAGGCAACTTGAACAATTAAACGCATTATTATTTTTATTGTAAATTATTAGTTACTTTTTGCGTCTCTCCTTTATTAAATAGAATGTAGTTAAGATAATATAAACTTAAGCTCAAATGTATATGTTTGAAAGATGAAGCTTGACGATCCAAACGCGGGAATGTTGGCGGTAGCTCGACGCAAAGGACGAGAACGGAAACGTGACGGACGGCTGGAGAGGCAGATTGTTAGCTGGTGCACGAGTTTGTTTGCGTAGTTGAGGACCGTATGTGCTGGCGCACGCAGGGCGGAGATCAGCTACGCCGGGGGTATTCTGCATGGGCGCCAAAGGTAATATTTTCAGGAGGAGGCATTACGGATGCGCCTCCCCGTTCGAGAAATCTTCATCCGATAGCGTGGAAAATTTCAACCACAGAAACCTTGTCGTGCCGAGTATATGATAAGTATATATCTTTACAAAGAATGTAAAATAAGAAATAATAATGCAAAACAAATGCGATTTTGCGGCGAGTCTTTTCAATAAAATCATGAGGATCTCTCAAATATGTATTATTATTGTATAATTTAATCTGAAATATGTTATATATAAGAATATGATTCTTATGATATACGAAAAGTCTAAAGATTCTATAGTTTGAAGATTGATGATTATAATCACACACGCATATGTTTTCAATTTAGAAGATAGTTTCCGAGTCTTCTCCTTAGTTTCTTGAAAAATTTCCAATTACATAAAGAGGATAATATCTTTCCAGCTGACGCTTTATTTTTATTGAGAGATAAACGTGATCCATAGAAGTTAAAAACGTCCCCCCAGAGGCGTCCCCTCTTACGGGCGCCTATGGATTAACCCACGCTTGTTTGTCGGTCCCGTTGCCCTATAATCGTGCGGTATACGGATAATGGTTTGGGTTAAGGGACTCCACACGGGCTGGGGAAGACGGCGAGGAAGAAAGAGAGAAAAAAAAGAGGAATCTGAGAGAAGGAACGCGTCGGCAGCAGCGGCGCCGAGACCAAGCTGCCTTCGTAAAACATAGCCCCGATAGTTTCAGAGGGTCGATTTCTCTTGATGATGATGGGAGACGATCGACCGACGGCAATCGGGACGAATCTTTCGCCAACCCTTGAATCACGTCGGCTCGGCAAAGTCCTATTATTCGGCTGGCCCTCAGCTACGAAACAATCCGCGTGTTCGATTTCTATTACGCGCCGCAAGATCGTGATCTAATTACGTCAACGGAATGCGGCGTGAGCAAAGTCATTTGCCGAATTGATGCCTTGTTTGTTATGACGATGGGGCCCCGAAACTTTGCCACGGGCCGCGATAAATTCCTTTTCATAAAGAACAAATATATTAAAAAAACTAATCTTTTAAAGTTACTCGTTCTCTCTTTTTCTCCATTTTTGATTGAAATATTATATAATTGATCGAAGAAAAAATATATATATTAGTTTTCTTATTGCATCTTGTATCATGTTAAAATTTGTATTAAAATTCATCGCAGAGTAATCATTCTTCAAAAGTTTTCAAAGTTTCAATCGCGATGTATTGCTTCAATCCATATGATAAATTTGATGAAATAGATCTCCATTTCGCAAGAACATAAAGAAATGCGAATAAATGATTATTACTGCTTATTATTGATGGATTTTTAAATCGAATGGGATCGAATAGAAATCGCTGATGCGTTTAGATTTAAAGTATTTATCTTAATTTTGTATTGTGACGATGCGAATAAATGGACGGCTTGTACAGAGCGTGTGACGCAAGGGATGGCGAGGCGGTAATTTCAACGCTCGGTGGTATCGCGGGCCGCGTGTAACGCGCGGGATAAGCGACGTTAAACGTCAAAGCGACTATTTTTCGACGTCGGTGTTTCATTACCCTAAACGCATCCCGTGAAATAGATCGACGGCGAGTACGAGCAGGCAACCGGAACGCGAGCGAAGGGTTGGGGTCGTGCGACTGCCTGGCAGAGTCACGTCGTCGCCGTCGAACGAACAAACGACAACGACGACCACGACGACGACGTCGACGACGACGACGACGACGATGATGACGACGATGTCTCTGCTCCTCTCTCCTGGCTGCAGACAGACGAAACCGAGAGAGGGACAGAGAGAAAGAGACAGCCAGGCGCCGATTCCAGCGACCGGCCGGCGCTAACCTCGACGCCAAGCGTGGAGCGTCGTCGTCGCCGCCGCCGCCGTCGCCGTCGCCACCACCGACGACGACGAAGACGACGACGGTGATGTCGACGACGACGGCGACGACGACCAATGCAAGAATACTTCTTCTGGCACCGCTACGACGCACGATAGGGTGGGACGTGTTGCTCGTCCAACGGACGCCAAGCCAGGGGAAGGCGGGGGGCAGACGTGTCTCCATCCATATCCTCTCTTTCTCCATCTTTCACGATGCACCGACACTCGTCCCTTTCTTCGGTATTGTCATCCGAAACTCCCGATTCCTACACGCGTCAATGGCGCCATTACGTTCTATACGAAGATAATTGAAGAAAAAGTAATCGGGTGCGCGATGATATTATTTCTCCGAGGACAATCGATTGCAAATTAATAAGAGTTGCCTTCACTCTGTACTTCTTTTTATTATTAATTTTAAAAATATTTTAATAAAGCCGATATATTTAGGGATGGATAAAATATAATATAATATTTGATAACTTTTGACTTTTTTTTGTTGATATGATAAAATATCTCTAATTTTGACACTAACAATAAGTCATATGGAAAATAATTTTTTCCTACGAGTAAAAAATATTCATATTATTTATAAAGCAATGCGAATATCGAGGTCGTATTCGATTAGATATTTTTTCTTCGCGATCGCACAAGCGTTAAACTCATAGTACCGTTTAATCTCACCCTTTCCCTTCCCAACGCTAAACATATATATAATTTCTCGTGGATTTGTACATAGTTTACAACTACGGGGAACACGGGAAATCCCGGTGATCGCAATCACCGCGCTCCTAGATCCAGGACGATAACTCATTTTTTTTCGGACTCGGTATAGACGGCGCCTAGTGTGGATAGGGGGAGAGATACCCCTTCCCGCCGAGGGTGTACCCGCCGTTTTAACCCATGCCAGAGCGCCTACCCCCGGCAACATCCGCGGAAAGTAGAAGCGGCTGCCACCCAAGAGGGGACGAAGGGGGGGACGACTACGACGGCTCCAGCGTGGGGCGCCAAGTGTTTTGATGCTTGTTATGCGAAGGGGAGTTTGATAAACAACGGGACGTAGAGAACGGAGCCGGATGGACTCGGATCATCACCGTCGCCCATACCGCCCCCGACTCCCGGAGACGTCCGACCGACTGGCTGCGCCCGTGTCATTACGAAAGAATTGATGTCCTGACACTACGGCGTCATTCCGTTTTTCTAACTTGTTGTCTCGAACGCGCCCCCCCTCCTTCCTCCCCACAAGTCTCGACCGAAGAGATAGCCGTCGTTAGCGGCGGTGCCGGAGCGCCGCCGACGCGATTTTCAAACGATTGTACGATTGGAAATTTCCTAGCTCACAGACTCGAATAAAAGTGTAATCGTGGTCTTTCATCGGCGAGAGAGCGTAAATGAATTATACAAAATACAATATTTTAATATTTAATATTTCGGATATTCTTGTTAAAAATGGATAAAATTAATCTTGTAGAAAACTTATGAAAGAGTAAGATATATCGAATTTTTTTTGCAAGCTTAATTTGCATCCTCGTTCTTCATTTTTTACGAAAATTACATGAAGTGAGAAATATTAATGATTGTTTTTAATAAGTTTCTTTTCTTGCGATTTGCGCGCGGGGAAGGAGAAGTTTAAGTGCATATATTTTTGGCGGAAATGGAGAGCTCGGTTTCGCGGGAAAGCAATGTGACGAAAACGAGAAAGGTGTTTACCCGCTTCCCGCCATTAAAGCAGGAAATGCCACAGGCGCCTGTTTAATTCGCGCGTCGTAAAGTACCCCGACTTCGAAAGTATGCATATCGAATCGGAAATCATCCTAATGTCATACGAATCGAATTGCGCATAACTTGTAGACGTTGGGGTAAAGAAAGAAAAAGAACGGCGCCACGCGTGGAATAAAAATATTTGATCGAAAACATTGTTTTTATTTTAATTTTAAAAGGTTAATTAATATAAAATTTATATAACTATTATATAATTTATCAGGAATTTATATGCCTATTATATAATTTATCAGGAACTTATATAACTATTATATAATTTTTCAGGAAATATTTTAGGAATTTTTTAGCGTGCAGTTTATATATAATCGGATAAACTGTGATTGGAATATATTTGATTGCAAGTTTCGATAACCCGGTGCTGCTTTTTCGATTCCTCGGCGCGCGATGGGACGCGGCAAATGACATTGTTTATCCTCCACGGGAGCGAGAGAAGAATCGTCGGGAACGTATAGTACACCGAAGTGGCGTCGTCGATCGGCGATTTGGCTTGACTCGGTCAAGCACCCTGGTGTGTACCAGCAGTCTCAACGTCCTCGTTGGCCATGCATGCGCGCCAGGAGC